GTGCCTGTGCGGGGCAGAGCCGCAGCTTGGCGCCGCCGTCACGCTCTGCGGGGTGAGGGCTCTGGCACCGCAGGAGGAGGAGGGAAGACCTGGGGTGGGCGCGGAGGAGCGTTGGCACGGGATGGCAAGGGAAGGGGCGCAGGCCTGGTGCTGGAGACCTGGTGGCTGTAAACGGCTTGCACGTGGTCAGGGGAAGGAAGACATGCAGGCTTAGAGCTGGAAAAAAAGTGGGGTTTGGGTTAACGAAGAAATAGTACCTAACATACCTAAGGGTAATGTACGTAGTAAATTCGGGTGAGGAATCGGAGCTGCAGACCGATGAGGAAAGAGGAAGGTAGAGAAGCACGTTGGCAAAGATAAAAATGACCTCAAGTGGATCCTAGAGGAGGAAGAAGTTACAAACATGAACGTCATACTTCATCTGGCCAAGGACTTCATTTGGACTCACAAGTCCCTGTCGGCACCCCCTCACGCTCCCAGCCTGGAGCGCAGCTGACCAGGGGATCCAGAGGAGCAGGGGAAGGGTGGAGGTAACAGCAGGAAAGGGGTACAACAGCAGCTGTAACTGCGTTATTATGACTCTTTTTCTGTAACTAGCGATTATTAGATTCTGAAGATTTCAGTTGTACTAACAATAAATATCTCTTTCATCTTTTCCAGTCTCTTTCTCTGAAAAGCCAGGTGAATAATGCTTGGAAACATTTCAGAAAGATGTTTCACTGCTGGGTTCTTTTCAGTGTTGTTGGTCTTTATCCACTGTTTTGGCATTTGCTTGTCAAGAAAAGCCCCTTACCCTGCTTTGTGCTTGATCCGCTAATTTAAAAGGGTGTGGAGGTTTATTAATTCTTAATGGGTTACCCTCATATTTCATGCCTTTTTAGCTATGTTTCTAAATCAAATAACGTCTTGAGTTAATCTCATCATAAACAAATGTTTGTTAGGTCTCAATGAAGGAATTTATTGTTTATGCTAATATTGGATACTATTTATGGTTGTACCAGATGCCTGTACCCTCATCTGTGCTGAGGTCAGAGCTGCTACTACTATTGAACAACCTGAAAGTCATGCCCTTTCCTTTCATAGCAACCTTTTAATGCAAATTTCATTCTGGTGAGACTGATTGTTACAGCGGTAGATTTCTTTTCCTTCCACTCTTCAACTGTTTACCTTTTTGCTTAGTGGCAATGATACATTTGAGTTTACTGTGTCCAGTGTGAACACTGAATACACCCATTTTTGTTTGGAAGGAAATAACAAGAAATATTTTAAATATTTAGGGGTTTAGACACCGTGCAATAGCTCAGAGATGTCTTTTTTTCTAACAAATCAGTTTTATTAGTTCTGGAGCCACCTAAAGCCTTGAGAAAGTACAGTGTTAATAATAATATTTTATACTTATCAAAAAAAAAAAGATATTTTTTCACTTTTTGTTAAAGCAAGAGGTGTTTTTTAACATCTGATCTCAGCCATATCTTTATCTTGGAAAAAAGAGTACCAAGCAAACACTTTTTTTACTGTTGACAGTTTTACAAATGTTACATAACTAACTAAAACATTACAGTTATGACTTTATACCTCCTGCAAAGAAGCAGAAAATATGTAAAATGATCCTTATTAGTGAAGCTCTTTCATAATAACTAGAACATAAATTTTGTTATTTTTAATATTTTAAACTTTATCTAAAAATGTAAACAGAAATTCAGATATCAAATCTGAGCAGTGTTTTCATGTTAAAAGAGTAGCCTTTAAGGTTCAACAGCAGCTTTTTGCAAGTGTATACACAGCTCCATGTGTAAGGTAACTAAATTACTTGCCATTATAAGCCTGCAGTTTAGCTACAAAAAAAAAGAGTAATAGATGTTAACAGATTTTTTCAAAACTGCTGAACATCTCTAAACAGAGTTTGTTCTAAATAGAAAGACAATATACCACGTAACAGCTAAATATCCTGTTTACGAGACAAAACTTGTCAGAGGGAGATTTGTTACAGACATAGCCAAATAATTAAAAGCGGAAAACACACAAGAAAGAGAAAGCAGCACACCTGAAATATGAGCCTGTTCATTGAAGTGCTTTACGGTACATGCAATGTTTTCTAAAATTTAGCAGAGCTCTTAGTACCTTGGTAAACTGTTTGTTTTAGTTTGGGTTTGTGGTGGTTTTTTTTTTGTATCCCAGTAAATTTGCATAGATTGATTTAGCCCACAAAACCATAATTCAGCCTTCAGTCCCATAAGACAGAAGAGTTTGACAGTTCTTTCTGAGAAACAGTGTAGTACTCTTGAAAAGTACTAACAGGACCTGCAGGAGCCGAACTACTCTTATTCACAGCAGAAACTGTATAAGGAGTGTGATCCCCGAACAGCTCTGTCAGCAGGAGTCTGTTCTGTCCTGAATCAACAAGCTTCCAGGGGTGACAGAAGAAGTCAGGAATCACACCTGTTAAATCATTGATTGTTTCAGCTGTCAAGACTGCCAACAAGGTGCAAACTGTGGTCGAAGTGCTGGTATTGGGGACCTTGGCAGACAGGAGGAACAATACTGAAATTCAACTCCAAAAAAAGGAACACGGTTGCTGTATATCCTTTGGTCTTTAACCTCAGGTTGTAGGAGAGGTTCTGCTTTTTACTAACATTGTGCATGCTTTGAAAGATTACTCCATCTCCATCCAGAAAGTCGTAGCCCCAGGTGGCTCCCCAATTAAAGAAAGTGGTGTGAGTTCCCAGTTGTAAGATGTTTCCACCTGTTCTGTTCATGACTTCATGCAGGCATTTTACTTTTTCATCTCTCTGCTATCTTTTTATACAGAAGAAATGTATTGGTTTTGGAGAGAATCACCTCACAGGGAGTTGATAGCTTGCTAATGTAGCTAGCAGTAAGAGGAGTCTTAGTATTATGTTTTGATATTAACTGTGTATCCAGATGGAGACTGATTATGTTCAACATCAAATCTTCAGATTTTCCATGCTTAATCTAGTCTTTTCTCCACTGATTCGTCTGTTTCTTTGTCTCTTAATGCCCTGCCTCCCTTTTTTTCGGGTGAAAGCTCTACCTGTAGACATACATAAATTGCATCATTATCTGCTACTCTTTTCTGATGTGAGTCATATTTTTGATTACTAGGAGATAACTTCATGGGCACTAAACAGATGAGTCTCTCCCAGACCAGCTTTCAAAGAGGAATAACTGCAGTAAGGGTTTGATGTCCAGGAGTACCAGAAACCACAAAACCATTCCCAGACAGTGATAGGCTGACAAAACCTCTGAATTAAAAAATACTGTGGATATTCCCTCCTGTGCTGGGTTGACCTTGGCCAGCTGCCAGATGCCCACCCGGCTGCTCTCTCACCCTCTTTTCCTCAACAGGACAGGGGGAGAAAATAAAATGGACAAGCTTGAGGGTTGAGACAAAGGCAGTTTAGTAAGAAAAGCAAAGCCCACACACGTTAAGCAAAGTAAAAGAGTGATTTGATTCAATGCTTCCCATCAGCAGGTGATGCCCAGCAACTTCCTGGGAAGCAGGACTTCAGTACACACAGTGATTGCTTTGGAAGACAAACTGTGTAATCACAAATGTCCCTCCCTGCGCCTCCTTTTCCCCAGCTTTTATTGCCGAGCACAATGTCATATGGCATGGAATATCCCTTCGCTCACTTGGGGTGAGCTGTCCCGGCTGTGTAGTGGCCATTAGTGTTAGAAGGCAAACGGTGTGTTAACAGAGCCCTGCTGTGAGGCGTAGTGTATCAGCAGATCTTTTACATCAAATGGTAAAATTGCCTTTCAGCGAGAAAGATTATTTCACTCCTCCCTTTTGGTAGGGTTTGAATATTTAACTGGTGTGTAGATGCAGCACTGCCTTTACAGATCTGTGGGAGGAATATATGATTATTTATTTTTAAATGCATCACAATTTGCCAGTGTTATTCAGCCTCATTTGGTAACCCATTTGTTAATGTTATGTAGATATATGTTGCGAGATGCAAATCATGATTATGTGCTATATAGCCAAGTAAGGAAACAAGGTTCTTGCCCCAAAGAGTTTACTCACGTGATCCCTTCTGGAAGCGCATTGTGATCTGATTTCACACTGCATGAAGTATTTCATTTCGTTATTTTATCTACTGTGTCAGTTGGAGAGAGCTAATCTCCCCATAAACAAAGCAAGGCAACTTCCTCTGTGTGCTGAGTGAGTCCTTCAAGATGTTTTCTGAAGTGATCAGTTGCAAGCACAGCTTCCATTTATATAGTGTCCTTTGTAGCAATGTCACTATGAACATAATGAATATTCTTAGAAGTATTTAAAGACTCCATAAATATATATGTCTTTGTGACTGCCTTGAACAGTGATGTAAGATAGCCCTTTTGTGTTGAGGAAAGGCTGAGTGGTGGAGTATTTTTTCAGATCCAAGCAATTCTGCTTTGCATGAGTGACCAAGACATCGAAATAACTTTTTTTGTTCTCCATGGGTCCAGTCAATTTAGGTATTTTTATCTTTGTTTTTAATATATTAGAGATTTTATTGTCCCCCACTCTGTATTTAATTTAGTGGTGGATCATCTGTTTTGACAAACATTTTCACAATTACCTAAGAAATTAATTATAAAGAAATTAATCCAGTTCTTAACTGGATTAACCAGGAGGGAAGAGCCTTCACATCACAGTCAGTGGCTCAATCCAGCTGGCAAAAATCAATGCGGTTCTGTTTAATCATGATTAATGTTTTCACTTATTTTATAATTTTGCATGCAATTTTATTTTTAAGGCTCTTGCAGGATGATTTGGCAATTGCTATTCATAAACCAGAGAGCTTGATTCTGTGTCATCTGATAAAGATTGTCCTCTGCTTTGCTTACCAGCAAGGGGATGTGACCAGTAGAGGGATGTGACTTGACATTAAATTCCATTTCCTCAAATGACACATCTACCAGAATTCAGGATTCACGTCCCCTGGTACTAGCACTGCAAAGGTTGGAATTGTCGTCACTGGCACTATTTTGTGACTGACACACTGGCCTGGTTCTGTCACCCTTATTTCCATTGAAGAGTGTCTTAAGAAAAATTACTCGGATGTTTCCGTTTCTGTAGTGGCGTCCATGTCGATAAAGATGTCTGCCTGGGAAGGGGCTGAGGACATTGCTGCCAAAATTTGTTCAAAGTAAAAGACGCAAGAACTACAGTAGGAATATTTGGCTGTGTGCTTTTGTTTGTCATCTGGAAGAAAAAGTTGTCCATAGTCTCAGCCCCAAAGAGCTTATAATGCAAGTAGAGGAACGATAAAAGGAAAAGTGGAGTATATGGATAGAAAGAATGAGAGGGAAAGAAGTGAAGCCACCACATTATGAAGGAATGTAGTGGCACTGAGCTTGCTAGTTCTATATATACACAGCTGGTGTTACAGTAATTTGCTGATTGATTGTGGTTCTACTTATGTATACATGAGTAGCTGTCTATTTATATACATACAGACATATAATATTCATATATTACATTAAATGAACATTAAGTTTGAAAGTGAGAATGCCTGAACTCAAAAGCTGTCTGATACAGTCTTTAATTTTTTGATTGCATGGTGGTTTTTTAGGACTCTTACCTTATTCAGAGTGTAGAGGGGATGAATCCTGCTACTTGGACAATTATTTAATATTTTGATTTATTGAATTATTAAATGTATGACCTCAGGCCTTATTGATTTCCTATGTATCTTCTAGCTGTTGCAGCAAGTCAAGAGTCTTAATAAACACATTCTTCTGGCTGTATATCACCAGGGCATAATCTGTACCATAAAAAAAATAATGTGAGAGGTTGAAATTGAAAACTATATTGCAAATATAGTCAAAATAGAACCATATCAAAATTGAGGCGCTAGACTGATAGAAGTTTATTCAGCTGAGAGATGTTTTTTAGCACAGGCAAAATTCTATTCTCTTACCAGATGTTTTCCTGGAAGTGGAGGAAGCCCTTTTGGTAAAGCTTTCAAAAGAAATCAGTCTGTCTCTCATTTCCTATATGCGGAAAGCTTCAACCCAAATAGATAATATTAGACAAAATGATAAGCAATTGAAAACAGAATTTTTTAAATGGCAAGTATGCAAAATTATTACTAGAATGGTATTACCTTTTCCTACAACTGAGACACGTACATGACTGTGTGGGATAGAATAAAACATAGATTTTAGAGTCACAGCTTAGCAGGATAGTATTACTCGAGTAGGAGTGTGTCACTTACAGAAGTCGCCCCAGACATGTATTGGTGTATTTTTTCTGCTAATGTGTGTTAAAGAAGAATCATTCTAGAAAATTCTTGAAAATTCTAGATTTTTCTATCATTCCAAGCCTTGAATCAGGGGAGGGATTACTCCAAATATTATGAAACTTAAAAGTCCAGTAGTCCATAAAGCAAGATATTTTTGTGCTGGGCTTTAAGAGTTTAAGAACTTTCAAGTGGATCCAGATTTTTAATTTCCAGAACTTGGACATCGTAATTGTGTTTGGCACATATGTATGTATGTCTTCAGCAAATATATTAAAGGGACATTAAAGTTTCAAAATCAAGCTGTCAGATGTTAGCACATGGTAAAATTAAGGTTGTCCATTTGACCTTATTTCATGACCCTGTGAATTATGATTAATTTTTTAACATTATGGTCACATAATAATGAATCAATAATATAGTCGATATTAGTAGATGCAGTAATACACATACATACAAGTGGAACGAACTCAGTAAAGGTACAGGAGGTGTAGAGTTTCATCCATTAGCCACCTTTTCTGCGTAGCCACGTCATCATGTGGAAAAAATCATTCCTAGCAGTTCTCAGTGAATGTTGGTTTGAAACTACTAAGAAGGATCATGCTGATTCCACTCCCACACTGAGTGGAGGTTTCTTCCATTCACATGCAGTTTGTGCATCAGTTCAGAAGGCCTTTTCTAAACAGGACGCCATACAAGCACTATACTCTTAGACTGTGTCAACAAAGAAGTTCCCCATGGTTAATTCTATTTTGTGTCTTCCTGTTTTTGAGTTTCTAGATGGAGCAAGTTCCAGACTGACACGGCTCAGTGTCTTAACAGGGACAATGCGAACACCTGAACTTCATCTGCAAACAAATGTGTACAAGGATCTGTACCACTGAATGTCCCTTTGTCAAGATACAGTAACAGTTTGATGACATTCAGCATCCCCAGTGAAACAGCACTTCGTTAGCATGTTACAAGAAGTTTACTGACATGAAGTTATCACAGGAAATTTTCCCTAAGAAGACAAAAACTAACTGAGGTTAGTCTTTACACTGGTTACTGCAGAAATGAAAAAATATGTTTTGATCAGGGTGGCCATATGCACTTAAGGAATTTGTTTTGATTCGTATATTATTTATCTTAGGTATTTGGGAGATGGTGTTGATTGAGTCCTTCACTTTGAATAAACTTGGTGCAGAACTGAAGAGTGACCGTATAAAGAAATGTATGTTTTTCCTCAGTCCTGGGGCTGCTAGAGGACTCGCAAATACGGATTGTC